GAGAATGCATATAAATATACAATACATAAGTAAAATATTAATAGCAATATTGCATTCAAATTGATATGGACATTGTTATGTAGTTGTAATTGTAGTATTAAAGTATTCATTGTAAAATTTGGCAAAATTCAGTTGAATAAAACTTTAAAAATTTACCTAAAATGTTAGTTTGCAAGAACGTAGATTTCCCGAAAATTGCACTACGATGGATTTAGCGATAGCCCAGAATGTTTAATCTCTTACAAATTGTTTCCCAAAAATATACGGGTGGTCGTATCTTTCTTTTTTTAATGCATTTGCTTCAGAATTACCCTCAATATCCGGGTTTCCAGGCGCACAAATGAGAGGAGTTCTATAATGCTGAGCAGTCTCGTTCAAATATGTATCTACGACATTCAGTAAGGACTTTGCTTTATCTAACTGCGTGTCTAAAGCTTCGGGGCATGACAGACTGACTTTTTCTCTCTGTAAGTATTCGAGCGAGAATCGTTCACCCGATGGCCAAGATTTGCGATTGATATAGGGTGTGTTCGTACGTACGTAATAATTACCGCAATTTTGCAGCCTTTTTTGCTTGCTTGATATGTTGCTGATGCTCAACTGAAAATCTTCTGAAATGCGGTGGATTTTGATTTGCCAATGATGAGCAACTGATTGTCAAAATTTTGTTCTTCGAACGCTTGATGTAGGCAGAATCGCCCAAATTTTCGCATAGAACGTGATGCTCTTTCATAAAAAGTAAGGATGTGTTCAGAAATGCATCAAGCCAAAGCATCAGTTTCTTTTCTTTCTAAACTACAACACTGTACCGCAAAATCAACTTTTTCTCTGGGTATTGGACCAAATCAATTTTTTTTTAAGAGCTTGAGTCATAGGTAAAACAGTGATTTCTCCGTTTTTCGGAGTTGGCCTCCGAAATCGAGATATTGGCCACCGAAGTTCGGAATAGGACCTTTGGTAAAAAATTATATTTAATTTTTGCATGTAAATAACTAAAAACCTAAAAATATAGACATAGTCCTCCTTTTGCTCTTATTTAAATGGTATATAACTTTTTTTGTGCAAACTTATATTACAGGTGTTATAAGAGGTCAAAGTTCAGGTCTTCGAAAAATTAAATTCCTTATATTGCAAACAATTTTGAACTGATTATTAAAAAAATTTCTCCCGATATACATATGTGTATACTTCGTATATAAAAATTTTTGAAAAAACACATTTAAAAGAAAAAATACCTTTTTTTATAAAAAAAAAAAAATATTTGAAACAAACAAATTACTAGCCGATTTTTAAAAAATTGGCATCGTTGTAAAGACGATTAAATTCCCTTTCTTCTCATATGCATATTTGTATACTTGCAAATGAACTTTTCTCTCAAAGTTTAAACTGCTGGCAAATGTAAATAAGGATTAAAATTTAATAACTAATTAATACAACTTAAATAAAATCTGTGGAAAATTAACAACAAAATACTTTTTTCGCTAAATCTATAAAGGACCCTTTTATTTCTCAAAAAAACCGAGGTAACAGTTATTCGTCGCCACGCTGTAAATTGGAAAGGCATATCAGAAGGAATTAAAGGGGTCACGTGACTTGTGGTTCCGTAGTTATGGCTGATGAAAACGTCCACGCCCATGTTACGTGCTACGCTCCCTTCTAAAAACTCCTTACTATAAGCACCTACCATAGATATGTTTGCATACTAAATTTCAGGTTCATGTGACTTATGGGTCCGAAGTTATGGCTGATTAAAAATTCCATGATTATGAGATGAGCCACGCCCCTTCTACAAACTCAATTATTTATATCTTACTATAAGAACCTACCATATATATGTCTACATACTAAATTTCAAGTTCATGTGACTTATGGGTCCGAAGTTATGGCTGATTAAAACTTCAAAGCCTACTGGATGTGGCACGCCCCCTTTTATAAACTCATTTATATAAACCTTACCATAAGCACCTACAGTTATGACTTCATATCAAATTTCAAATTCATGCGACGTATGGTTCCGAAATTCGGATCGCTGCTGGTGGTAAGAGTATACAGGTAAAAAAAAAAAAAATTGGTTGCCAATCTAATTGAGAAGGTTAACAGATTTCGTTAGAAAAACTAATTGTTTCGTGTATGATATATTTATTTTTCATACATACCATGTACAGATTTCGAAAAAATGTTATTTCTGCAGTGAAAACACGGCCATTCCTTTTGAATTTCGTGAAATGAAGTCGTTCATGAGTTCATGGATACGAATGCAATATTGCTACAGGGAAAATTTTAGTGAAAATCGGCAGGAAAAACCAAAAAAAACAACTGGGCGCTCTAGCTCCAACTCAAGCTGTTGCAGTTTAATTTGGTCTTACATTTTTTAATTAATTAAATAATAATTTAATAAATTTTTAGTTTAAAATGTTCCTTTGATCTTACATTTATATTTTTGTTTCTTGTTTTGTTCTTTTTCTATTCCATTGGCTTTTACTTGATTGGAATATTTCCGATAAAAAATTTCCAATACTCGGAATGCAGATCATCAAATTTCCGAAGAATTCCGACTCGAAGTTGATCGAAATGTAGAACAAGGCGGAATCGGAAATAATTTCCGATTGTCAGAATGCAGAACACCAACATTCGGAAACAAATCCGATTCCGATTCGAATCGGATTGCAGAACAGGGCTGATTGAATTCGAATAGCTACGAATGGAGCGTATACTTTGAATAAGGGTGTGTTCAGAAATGCATCAAGCCAAAGCATCAGACGCATTTATGGGCTTGGTCGAGTTTCAATCACAACCGCAGTGTTGCGCGAATTATTAAAGTATCACGTTTAGATTTTTGGCAACGTTTTATCAGTTGGGAAGTTGCAACAGTCATGCAAGTTTTCATCAGTGCTACAGTATTGCCGCTTTTATTACGTGCCTCGAACAGGCCCTTTTAGTTGCGTAAATAAGGCATTTCCATCAGTTATAGTTTAGAAGTAAAAGAGGCTGATGCTTTGGCCTGATGCATTTCTGAACGCATCCGAAGCTACCGGGGATTCATTTACCCGCTGAATGTACATTCGAACCGTTCCCTACAATGGCCGAATACTTCAAAGAAATATGCAGCAGACCACACCAAAATACAAAAAGAAAGCAAAGAATAAGAGATTCAAGTAAAATACAAGTTTTCTTTTTTAAACAAATAACTTATTAATGTTATATTTTGCAGTCTTTCTTTTTTACATTATATTTCCTCTTAGAGACTAGTTAACTCTTTACTAATAGCTTCTTATGAATTACACATTAAAGTACAGAGATCTATTCCTAATTACATTTGCTAACTGCTACAGATTAATCTACCTCCTCAACAGTGGGACCACTGCGTCCACTATTGAAACCGCCCGCCTGTTG